GTCATGTTGGGAGGTTGTGAGGTGCTGCAGGTTCAGTGTGTTTCTGAGGAGTGTGCGCTGAGGGAAGCTGTGAAAATCAATCGTGGTACGAGGTGATGCTTGGCACAGAAAAGACATCGCATACTATTTGAATCTGAAGATCTTTTGCTATTTTTCTTACTTTAAGTTGTTATTTTGTGCAGCAGACGATCACTGTGGCATATTTAAAGCTACATCGTCGAGTCGCTCTTCCAGATAATTTCATTTGGAATCGAAGTACGCAACAAGAGCGCACGCCACAGTGCTTGTCTCTCGGGGGAATTCTTGAAATCTGGAGGAACTGTCCCCACTGCCTGTGTGCACAGCAGACTCCATGTATTTCATATTCATTGTCATTTATTCATGGAATAACCCTGTGGTATGTTTTAAACCTGTTTGTGTTGTTATTATCAAAAGCAGAGACAAATCTCATCAGGGGATCTCGTTAGCGCAGCGCGACTCGTGTCGCTCTTCTAACTGCTGAGGAATCAGAGCAGAATTATCCCGGTGCATCAGACAGTGATGTGTCTGTATCAGATTACACCGTGACATACACTGTACATATGGTTGGGTTGCGTCCTCCTCCCGTGTGTCCTCGTGATTATGATAATTCACGGGCATTCTGCCAATGTGTTGTCAGGAATTTAAAGTAGCTTCGGTGGTCATGAATTAAACATGACTCGCACATTTAAACGAGGATCGACAAAAGCCCACATGTAGACAGCTTTCAGAGTGACGTCATCGTGAGATGTGCACGCCTGCGAAGACAACACAGCGAAGAATAATGACTGAGAGCTAACGAGGAGCTGTTTTTGAGCCTTAAGTCCACAAATCACCTGCCAACAGGTGGAAATACTGTTCAACATCTCCAAAATAAAAAGCAGGATACACTGATGATATCTGGTCAAATCCATTTTTTAAATTCAAACATTCCTTTTTTAGCAAACTTTTGTGGACATTACTTATTTGGAATGCATAATTACTTTTTCATGCCAACATTCATTTTTGTAATATAGTGTTAGTTATCTTCATGCTAACATTGCTTTCATAATGCTTATCTTTTTTTATTGTAAACATCACTGCTTTTTTAAGGCTAATGATTTTCTTTATGCAAACATTAATTTTTACTATTAATATGTTATTTCTAATGCTAATTACTTTCGTTTTTAACAAAATATTTGGGGTACACTTTCCAGGCTACTTCTTTCTTCTTAGTGGCAAACAGCAGACACAAAGCTAGAGAGTCACCGGCGAACATAATGGAGCATTTAGATGCAAATATTTCCCTCCAGAGTTGGTCGAGGCCAAACTTAAATTGGACACCATAGAGGTAGACTCATCAGGTGGACACAAAAAACACTGAATAACAGTGTTGCTCACGATGTGCTGGATGTGTAAATGAACAGTTTACAGCTACAGCTTTTTTTTCAGGGTCAACAGTACAATAAAAGAAGAAGAAGAAAACAGGTCAACTCGCTTATAGTTAAATTAAAATAAAGAGCCAGGGTAGAAAGAGCTTATTATAAAACAAAGTCAAACACGATATTAAAACTATATTCAGAGATGCAGTGTGACATTCTTTGTAACTGTGGTAACAACTTTAACTGTATGGAGTGTGTATGTGTGTTATTGCACATGTGTATGTATAAGTTATTGCATCGCGTGCATCAGTGATTTGAAGTGACTCGGAGCTCTCGTCGGTGCAGCCATCTCACAGCGCAACCGGAAGTTCCACAATCGTGTATAACTTGACATTCAGGCTGAAACATTCACACCCTTTTGTCCATGGTTTGAGTTTAATTTGAACGCCTGGACCGTGTGTTTTTCGGAGGGGGGTGAGCAGGAAGTCGGCCCCGGGGAACAAGCTGCTGGCAGGCGCTGCTGAGTTTAATGGACCAGCGCTGCTTCGCTCTGAGTCGATTGCCTCTGTGGTAAATTTGGTGCAATTCAGCGGTGGGCTTTCTCATTCTGCCCTCTCACAGCACTTTGACAGAGGGCAGCTGTCAGCCAGTCACTCTGTTAGAGGTAGAGACATTCACTCTCTCTTTGTGATGATGCAAACACTGACTGCGAGTTTCAGTTGTGGGTGCAATTAGGAAGCTTTCATTTTTAACCAGGAAACCATATGGGATTGTTTTAAATTCCCCAGTTTCATTCACACCATCACTTCCATTTGAGACACTCATCATTGGTTGCATGTTTAATTTTTAATGCTGCAATATGAGAGGCAAACTTCATCGGTTAACTGGTGAGGGTGGATAGAGGCTGAATGGGATTTATGTATGTGCTGTGGTTTGGAAGCCCAAGGGATCTTTGTTTAGGTTTGAGCCCATCAGTGGACATTCTCAAAGTAATTGGAGGGAATGGAGCCATATCTGAGGCCCCGAGAGAGAGAGAGAATATATTGAAGGATGCTGAGAGGATGCTTTATTGAAGTCTATGGTTGTTTGCCAGGATTTTAATGTTCTAGTCACAGGACTAAGTGTTCAGCCAATTTATAAGTGCTAAAATAAAACCTGAGGTTTACTGTATGTTTCTACTGGACTTATATTACTGAAATACATGTGCATGATCCATCGTTAATGTAAAAGTATTGATGGTTGCTGCTTTAAACTATTTTCATTCATTTAAAGCTCATATATGAATATAATATAGTAAGCCTTGACTCGAAAGATATATTTAAGAAACTTATTTTAAGTTTTGTATCTTTGCCTTTATTAGATGGTTTACATGCTACATACCATGGACTGTATTTGTTGCAGCCAGTAAAAAGAAAAATATTAACATGTTTGCTTATAAATGATTAATCCGTCATTTCCCATTGACTTTCTGTCAATCCACTAATTAATAAACTAATCATTGCATTCTCACTGCACACCAGTTGTCCTCTTCAGTTCTTTTCAGTGAATGCAGGCTGCTGTTTTTGATGTGCTGACTCATTGCCCACTTTGCTGATGCAGGCAAATAAAAAGCTCCGTCTTCAGGCGCGACTCTCTCTGTCTGTGTCAGTGTTCATCTGTCTCTGTTGAACAGCTTGTTTTCTTCCTGCATTTCTATTTATGACAGTTCTTGTGCAGGTTAGGGACGTCACAGGATTCAATGAATCCACTGAATTGATCTCTCTGCTGTGATGGTAACAGACCACTGCCCTGTCCTCTGGTTATCTGAGCTGCCATAGCCTTTAGATTTAAGCCAGGAAGCAGGGAGGTAAATGGAGTGACATGTGCATGTATAACCCATTTTTATTTTCACTAATAAGAATTTAAAAAATCCAAAATATAAACTCACAGAAGACAGCCTGTAAAACTGTCCAGGATATGGATTTGTGCATGACGTGAGTCCAGATTTGCACTCATGACTCGGACTGATGGTTTAATAACTTAAGGACTTCAGGAAGTGAATAAAAACTTCAGCTGCCAGTCCTGAAGAAAAGTTTCACAATAGACAGATTAAATTTAGTTTTACAGCAAAATGTACATCTACTTTGTGTATGTTGCATACATTGTGTTTACACCAAATAGAAATAAACTAAAATAATACAGTATGGGTAGACATACAGATATTGTAAGGTAGTCTGATATAGATGTGGATGTAATAAACTGTAGTTAAATATTTTTAGCGATGTTAGAAGCTAAACAAGCTTTGGGTTTGTTTGCAGTCCGTCTTCACTGCCGCACTCTGCATGACCTCCGAGGTGCAACTGCTAGACAGCTTGACCAAACATGCATAACCTAATCATGCACAAATGGACAGACTGTGGGACACACGCACACACACAGACACACACACACAAACACACACACACACGAACACACACACAGACACACACACTACCACGCCTTTTGACATCTCTGCTCCTCCTCGTCCCTGCCTCGTGTTAAAACAGCATCAGATTTACTGTCCATCTTAATCTGTGTAAGATTAAGTCGCCATTGTCATGTGACCCTCCCAGACTCATCCCTGTGTGCTTGTTGCTGCGTTTGTGACGCTCGTTTCAGCAGATAGACCGACAACACAACAGCCTCGCAAACATCAGGTTTGCTCACTACTATTCGGAGAGAGAGGTGATGATGTTGTAAGAAAAGATGGCGTTGTTGTTTTTTATGGGAGTGGACATGTCGTCCCGTTTAAATCTTTTTTTTTTTGGGACTCAGAGGGAGAGCAGGAAAAGCAATATATATAAAAGATGTTTTTGCTCGAAACTTAAACTAAAGGTAAAAATATTAAAATAAGGGTCTATAACAGAACTCGATTCTAAAGGAAACAAGACTTAAATTTACAATAACAATGCATCAAATGACAATTTGAAATCAATATGAGGATGTAAATAGCATCTTCCGTAGTGATGAATTTACAGAGACCTAAATATTCAGCTCTATTCGGTTTTTCTCTTTAGTTCACGCTCACTGCTGTCGTTGAGTCATTTTTGGTGCAGCAGACATCAACACAAATATGACTGCTAATGGTAGTGTTGCTCTGTAACTGCCGGGTGTGTCAGTGAACAGTTTAGGGTTGAAAGATTATGACGTGTTATAGTTGTGCTCACAAGTTGTTTGTTCTGCACCCAAGAGGCCGAAAAAAATATTTCAAGTGATCATATATGTTGTGGCTTAAAGTTAATCAAATCTAGTGGAGGTATTTCCAGGAAATGTGGAAGTACCTCGATACTATACGCGAGCAAGAGTAGTGAATAAATGTACTTTCTACCACAGCTGAGGAGCTTTGCTGGATATAAGGCTGCGTCGGTGTGTATAGACAGGGTTGGGATTTAGGTTGCTGGGGGATTTCAGGGATGTTGCGAGGTCAGTGGATTACCTTGTAACAGATCTGTAGGAGGGCTGGCTTGGAGGACACACACATGACGTGCTGGCTTGAGTGTGGAGGTGGGGTGGGGGTTTAATCCTTGAGACAAACGTGGTAACTCCTTCTTTGGTTTGGGAGTAACCGCAGAAGCTCAAATTTTTCTTTTTCTTCTCCCTCAGGTTTGAATAACGATGACTCCCATCCTCGCTGTTTGAACATGCTGCTCGGGTAGTGAAGGAGACTGCGAGGAGCGTCTACCCAATTAAACTCCCCTCACACACGCACACACACACACACACACGCACAACCATGCTGATCAAGGAGTATCGTATCCCCATGCCGATGAGCGTGGAGGAGTACCGCATCGCTCAGCTCTACATGATCCAGGTGAGTGTGATCCAGCTTCATTATCAAACATCTCATACTGTATTTCTGTTCTTTATCCCTGTTGTTTCACTCGGACATGTCGGCGGTACAGTTTGCACCAGACTCTATTAAAGCCTGGCAACAGTCACTACAACAGACACTAACTTAATCACACAAATAAAACTCAGCTGTAAATAACTGGGTTTTTATTTTTGATGGTGGAAGAATTTGAAGGACAACCTTCAACCTGTGGAGAGTTTCTGTCCAACTTTGTAAAACAGTTATTATAAAATTCAATGGAGAAATTACACATGACAGTGTGTTGTAAACATTTAATTCATGTTTATGCACGGCTCATGAATCCTGAGGGACATAAAGTGAAATATTGCCAAACTGCCTTATTTACTTCCCCACATAGAATAAAACCATTCACTGACAACGAGGAAGTGGTGACTGAATATCCAAATGTCTTTGTCACCAATATGAGAGAGCGGATCACTGCACACTGAACACCATAGCCTGGACAACTATTAATGTTATTAATGTTGTATTAGTTGTATTTACTGTGGCCCAGTACTTGACAACAGTATAAGAAACAGCAGAATGTTTTTGCTGTGTATCTGTCTTGTCTGTGTCAAAACATTTTTGCTATAGACTTTTCTACCTGTTAATGTGTGAGATGAATTCTTCCTGTAGACCAAAAATATTCAATTGTTTACTTGCTTTGTTTTTGAGGAAGATATGAGTACATCACAAACCACATATCTGATGCAAGAAGTCAGTGTGAGTCTGGTTAATAATGGTAAAGCACATGGATGCTGGAGAATGTTGTTCTGGGTCATTAGACGATGTGGGTCATGTGCTGACGTGAGGCTGTAGGTCAGGTTTGTGTGTGTGAGGGTGGAGGAGGTCAGGAGTTTAAGGTGTCATCGTGCACCGGAAACTGGAACGCTGGAGAACATGGCTGAGGGGTCAGAGGGGCAGTGTTGTTCTGCAGACCAGATGTTGCTCCATACGTCTGAGGGCTGTGTTTCATTTTACAATGTTGTGCACGCACGCACGCACACACGCGCACACACACACACACACACACACACACAC